TAAGCTATGTGGGGGTTCTTGTTCTTGACTTTTTACTGTTGGACTATCTTTATGCTAAATCTTGATCTCACTGCACAATCTTTGAAGAACTATATTTGACATGGTTTGCTATCACTTGGGATGGGAAATGAGAGAAATTCTGGTTATAGCAAGACCTTGGAGTTAATTAATTAATGTTTTGATCTGACCCATTTCAAATAAACCTCTTGCAGCAAACTTCATACTGCCCAACAGCGGACCCAGGATATTTCAGACAGAAGTGGTTGGTACAGAGGGAGCAGCTGGGTGAAGCTGAAAGCAGGGCTGTTTTAATGGATGGTTGCTTGCCACCTGCTGACTATGAATTTGACGGATAAATCCAATGCTTATTTAAAAGAAGGTTAGAACTAGTGGAAGGATCACTTGTTCCCTAGTCCTGTTTCCACGTGGAGGAATTCCATCCAAGGAAATCTCCTGGCCTCTCTCCATCCTTTTGCTTACCAATTCCAAGGAAGGATGAGCAAGTTATATGGCGGACAAGTTGGCCAGAAGGAAACGCCATGAATTTGAGGTCTGCTGGCCTTCCAGAGCACTCAGTATCTGTGCTCCTAAGCTTACAGGGCTGGCCCGAGTTTGCCCAGTACTGCGCATGGCAAGGGGTGAGGCCATCTTACTGAGGAGTGAAGTAGAAGCAAACCAGCTTGGGCATCCAACCTAAAGCCGCTTCTTCCAACAACTTTAATCAAGCTGATACTTTCATCTCCACCTGCCTGACTCTGGTCTACTTCTTCATTGTCTCTGGGTCTTGGGATCGAGCCCCACGTTGGGCCCCCTGCTCAGCAGGGAGTCTGCTTCTCCCTCTCACTCTGCCCCTCCCCCCCCATAGTACGCTCTCTCTCTCTCTCTCTCAAATGAATAGATAAAATCTTTTAAAAATATTTCTGGAGGTGCATTTTAAAAAAACAGGTGAAATTGATTTTAATAATACATTTAATTTAATGCAATCTGTCCAAAATGTTATCAATTCAACATGTGATCAATTAAAATTTTTAACTGGATTTTTTTTTCAAGTAGGCTCATACCCAGCATGGAGCCCAGTGCAGGTCTTGAACTCATGACCCGGAGATCAAGACCTGAGCTGAGATCAAGAGCTGGACACTTAACCGACTGAGCCCCTCAGACACTCTTATTAATTGAATATTTTATATATTTTTTACACTATGCCTTTGAAATCCAGTGTGTATTTTATACTCACAGCACATCCTAATTTGGACTTGCCACATTTCAAGTGCTCAATAACCACATGGCCAGTGGCTGCCACATTGAACAGTACTGGTCTACATGGTCTCGCCTATTAGAGAAAGGAAGCTAGTTTTCCACTGTAGTTTTGTCTAGGTGAATTATAACTACGAATTAAGGATATCTCTCCCTTTCTCCCCCTTTCCCGCAAACACACATCTTTTCATTTTCTCAAGAGACCAAGAAAGGGTTCAAATTGCTTTCTGATACACTTTCCCCCAGACGGCTATTTCTTTGAATATAACATGTGCATCGACTAGAACACATGGCCATTTGGTTTTCTTTCAGTTGAAAGTTAGATTTTAGACCCATGGGACTGTGATTTATAGATGACCATATTTTGCATTTCATCACAAATTCAAGGGCCACCTGAAGCTCATGGTTGAGGGTGGGCCTAGGTGAGCTGGAGTGACACAGGGATGCCCCTTGAGGCCACCCCCAACTAGTCAGGTGCTGATGGATGGATCTTCCCCATCCCCAGCGAACTTGGGGTTTAGCTTACTGATGGAGATTCCCAATTTCCTTCTAGTAGAGGGGCAGGGCATGAGCAGGACCATTGGCCTCCAGTTTGCTCTGGTCACAGATCTCAGCACGAGCAGGACAACTTCACTGGCCACTTTGGAAGGCCCAATGCTTTGGAAAAGCCTGGAACTTGTGTCCATTGTGGTATCAAGGGGCACCTGTCAGCTGTTTGGTCCATTCTCACTGGAGCATGTGAGCGTGTTCATCTTTCTCATCTTACTGACAAAGACATTACATCTCAAATCCCATCAGCTTCTCAAAACTCCTGGGACCCCCACAAAGAATCGTACTCAAACTGGAAGAGAGAGGACAGATGGATGAAGGGCTTCTCCTGGTGCGGAGTGCAAAGCCTTAATAGTGGAAAGATACAAGGAGGTGAAGGCGCCGGTTCTGCAGGATTCCAGGTGGTGGAAGAGCTCACACCCGGGGAAGCAGACAGGGATGCACAGAGAGCTCAAGCTTGGAGGCACTGCCCCCCCGCCCCGGGAGGAGAGAGAAGGCCACTGGGGCTCCGAGGCAGGGAGGGGGTGCAGAGACAGGGGCAACCAAGAGCCCGTCCTGGAGCCCCTGCCCTCAGGGGGGAGAGGCTGAGGCTGAGAGACGTGGATGAGGCAGGCAGGGTGGCCTCTGCAGCCCCTCGATACCCACGCAGTCGCCTCCGTAAGGACTGGCATTTCTGTCATTTCTGCTGAGAGCGGGCACCGCACATCCACGCCCGCGTGGAGCCCCGGGTTTCATTCCGGTTACACTTACCTCGGGGCTCAAGCACCAAAACGCAGACATGGAACCAGGCCACTGAGTGTCGCAGGAGGCTCTCCGAGCGCCACTCTAATTCATTCTTTTCCGTTTTCTTCCAGACATTCGGCGGAAGAAACAAAAGGCCACGCCAAGGGACGATCTGCTCTGTGCCAGGGATGACTATCGAGAGCGTTTCTTTGGCGCTTTAAGGATGCTCATACACGAAGCCAACAGTATTAAACGTGGAGAAAGCCGTTTATTTACTTAACTGTGGACGCACAGTGAACACACCTTTTAGAATCTCTAAAAGTAAGAAAGAGAGTTTTATTGGCGGGAAGGACATTTGCCCGGGAAACACGCTCTTCACAGGGGAGAACGGGCTCCAGGAAGAATGAACCGTGTTTACAGGGTGATAGCCTTTCTTACATCTCGTAAAAGCTCTAATGATTACAGATTTGCATGCAGGCAGGAATCACGGGTTTACCAGAAAGGAATGCAGGGCGGGTAGGAGCATTGATTGACTTCTCGAGGACAAGATGGTTTTCCTTCAGGCAGCTCACTCACAAAGCAGGTGTACGATGCCTGACGCATGCGTGGTGGGCCATAAGTCAGGCTTTGGATTTTTTTTTTTTTTTAAAGATTTTATTTATTTATTTGAGAGAGAGAGTGAGAGAGAGAAAGAGCACAAGAGGGGGGAGCGGGAGAGGGAGAAGCAGACTCCCTGCTGAGCAGGGAGCCCGATGCGGGACTCGATCCCGTGACTCCAGGATCATGACCTGAGCCGAAGGCAGTTGCTTAACCAACTGAGCCACCCAGGCGCCCAGGCTTTGGATTTGAACAAAGTTTCTAACAGTCACATTGACTTGGAAGGAAATCTCAAATGGCTTCCCGCGTATCTCAGGCCTTCAGAGAGTTTTTTCTGTCATCATTCTGCTCCTGAAGAACTTCTGAGAAGAAATGAGAACAGCAAAAGCAGGAAGCACAGTGGCATGGCAACTATTTAACCCCCGCGAGGGTAAGATGTGGGAAATGGGACTGGCAGGCTGTGGTCTGAAATGGGGACAGTGGCTCTCTTTCCCCTCCACGCTTTAAATCTTTCCCGTTTCCCATGATATATTTCACTACTGTAATTGGGGGGGGGGGTAGGTGGAGACTCCTCCTTTCCCGTCATAGGGTCCTTCTTTATTCAGGGATCCCCATTCAGGGACTCTATTTTAAGAAAAGAAATCGTAATAATAATGCAATAAGCTTTTGGCACACAGATATTCATTTTACCACTATGCATAAAAAAATTTTTTTGAAATAATCTAAATGTCCCTGAAAGCGGAAGGCATCTAGTGTAGCCCTTGCTTTTCCTCTTCTGGCTCCTTTCTCCCTTCCCGTACCCTACAGCGCCCACCGCTCAGGCCCCATCCAGCACAGGCAAAGGCACGTGACCCAGTCCTGACCAATCAGAGCGGCCCCTGGGCCTCTGCCCCGCCCCTTTCCCTTTGGGAGCACCCAGTGGGAATGGGGTACACTGGGTTGCGGGGGGGAGGCTTGGGGGAGGGTTCTTGTCTGAACCTGGTGCAGGCCTGCCTGAGAAATGGAAAGGCAAATACCTGATGACATCCTTTTTGTCCTCTGGATCCAGACACGCTGTACCCCTAAGCTGTCTAAGCACAGGAGTCAATAAACTCCCTTTTTTGTGTAAGCCAGTTTGCGTGGCTTTTGGCTACCTAAAACAGAAAGTGATGACTAACATATGTCTAATTTAAAAGATTGTATATATAATCAAGAGAATATTTCGTAACATAAAAGAAGTCTATAAAAACTAAGTGAAATAGAGAATGGTAGGAAAATATTGTGAAGTGAAAATAGCAACCTAGAAAGTTCTAGATCTGTAGGCAAAGGAGGGAATTGAGAATGAGAGAGAGAAAACTCTGGGTTGCAGAAAAAAATCTAGGATGTAACGCAGCCTTGGGGGAGGGTCCCCAGCGGGCAGTCTCAGGACAAGTACGGAAGGCAGGCACTTGAACATTCTACACCAGACTGCCAAAAGTCGTCACCCTTGGTTGATGCATTATCTCTCTTTTTTTTTTAAGATTTTATTTATTTATTTGACAGAGAGACACACAGCGAGAGAGGGAACACAAGCAGGGGGAGCGGGAGAGGGAGAAGCCGGCTTCCCGCGGAGCAGGGAGCCTGATTTGGGACTTGATCCCAGGACCCTGGGACCATGACCTGAGCCGAAGGCAGATGCTTAACGACTGAGCCACCCAGGCGCCCAGTTGATGCATTATTTCTAACTCCTATGTTTTACTTGACTGAATTTTATTTTATTTTACTATTTTTTAAGATTTTATTTATTTATTTGACAGAAAGAGCACAAGCGGGGGAGCAGAAGGCAGAGGGAGAGGGAGAAGGAGAAGCAGGCTCTCAGCTGAGCAAGGAGCCGGATGTGGGGCTCCATCATGACCTGAGCCAAAGGCAGATGCTTAACCGACTGAGCCACCCAGGCGCCCCTGCCTGAATTTTTAAAAAGTTGTATTTAATGTCCATGCGCTGCTTTCAAAACAGCAGCTAAAACATAAGAAAGAAGTAGGTTGAAGATAGGTGATGCAGGAAGCCTGGAGAGGTCCTCACAGTTTCTGAGGAATCCTAAATTGCTCTGAACTCGGGGAGGAGAGAAGGGCTCCTGGGCCTCTCTCTTTCCTAATGGAATCTGGTCGAGCAGTTTCCAGTGACGTCCTGTTGTGTGCAAACCCAGGTCTTACCCAGCATTACCCTGGGTGCCGGAGGAAGGGAGCAGAGCAGGCAGCTGGCCACGGAAAGGTAAGCACAAGATGCCCCTCACCTCAGGGACCCTCCTGTCCTATCCTCTGCATTTAATATAGAGCCCGCACCAATCGACACATGCTTCATGAGGACCTACTGTGTGCGCGTGAGTGAATGGGGCACCGGAGAAGCAGCGGGAAAGAGGCGGCGCCCTAGAGAAGGGATGGGGGACAATGAAGAAGCAGGGTGGTGAAGGAGAGGCAGGACAGATGGACCTCACCACACTCACTAGCTGACCGCGCCCTCAGGCCCCAGTTGGACCTCCCGATTGCTAAGTCCTAGGCATCGCCTCTGCCAACCCAGCCCGCCCCCACCCTGTCCCCTTTTAATTCTGCTCAGAGTCCTCTCCTGTCACCTGAGGTCCTGCTTCCCCACGCCTGCCTGGAGGTCAAGCCAGAGACCCCGTGGCTCCGCCCGAAGATGAGCTCCTGGGCCTTTTCTCTTGGAAGAGTTTCTGTAAAGAAACAAAAACACCAGTCACAAGAGGGCTTGCAAGGGAGGGCTCGGGGGGCAGCCTCTGCCGGCAGGCTTCCTGGCTTTGTATCCTGACTCTGCCACCCCCTAGCTGTGAGCACTTGGCGAGTCACTGAAGCTCCCTGTCTTTGTCAGCTGGGGCTGCCCTAGCGGAATAGCACAGACTGGGTGCCTTATATAAGGGGAATGTGTTTTCTCCTAGTTCTGGAGGCTCCGGCCAGTTGGGTTTCTGGTGAGCCCTCCCCCCTGGCTTTGGAGATGGCCACCTTCTCGCCGTGTTCTCCCACGGACTTTCCCTCTGTGCGGGTGCAGGCAGAAAGAGAGAGCCCTCTTGTATTCCCTCCTCCTCTTAGAAGGACACCAGTCTCATAGGATCACCCCTTCCTATGACCTGATTCAGCCCCAGTCGCCTCCCAAAGGCCCCACCTCCAAATAGTCACTCTGGGGCTTCAACCTATGAAGGTTCAGGGACACATTTCAGTCTGTAATGCTCCCTGTGGCTCAGTGCTCTCTGTTGTACACCTGGGAAGACCCTCTTCCCAGCCCATGGACCTCAAGGAGCAATGAGAGAGAAATCGAAGGCATGACCAGGTCTGTCCAGGAGAGGCGCCATTATCATCAAGAGGCACCTGACATCATTTGGACCCCCCGGACCACCAGGTGCCCCAAATCCTCAGGAACATCCAAGCAAACGTCACACACACACACACACACACACACACACACACACACACATGCCGGCTCCCTTAACTCCCTTTCTTTAAACCTTGGTGCCCATCAGCCCCGGTTAAAGCTTCTCCCCTCCCTCCAGCCCTACCCACGAAGGAGATGTCAGCCTCACCTGCTGCTGCAGCCTCTCATAGAGCTGGGTAAGTTCTGTCAGCTCCCTTTCTAGCTCCCGCGCGTGGGCCCTCAGCTCTTCTGCCATCTTGCTTCCTTCTCCTTCCTTCAGTTGCTTCCAGTCGGTCAGGAGGGTGACCACGTCCTGGCAGAGGGAGAAGCCGGCCATAGCACTACACAGCATGCGAGCATTTTTCTTTATCAGCACTGCTGTATCCTTAAAGGCCCTTTGCAACTGCATGCTCCTTCGGGCCGAGACTTGGCCAGTGGTCAGGAGACGCTTGGCAGCAGTGGCCAGACGCGGGTGGGCTCTGGCTATCTGAAAGGCATGGATGTTCCTCTTAACATCCTTGATGTTACTTCCACAATCATAGGCCTTCTTTCCGACACTTGTGATATAGAAGACCGTCTTTCCCTGAGCCTCCTCGACCTCATGGTTATGGGTAGACACTAGGGTGCCGGCTTGAGTTTGGGCTTTTTGATTTTGAAAGTGTTCCATAACATTGGTGAAGATGCTGGTGAACCCGGCTGCTGTCCCCAAAACTTTACCAACAGCAGAGAGCACCAGACTTCCTCCTACTGTTGATGGAGCGAGGACCAGACCCAGGATGCCCATGGTGTCTGAGACCACAGTGATGGAGGTGGCCAACATGTTGGTCTTGGTGAATGTTCTGTGGGTTGTGTTGATGTCATCTGCAAGGGCATGGAGCTTCTTGATGTCCACTTCTAGCTCTTCCTTGATGATGGGAAACTCTTTCAAAAATATTATTTCTTCAGCTGACAGATCCTCATCTTGTTGCTGCACATCCTCACACAGAAGACTGTCATCCTGGTCTCTGTGGGTGAGCAAAAGAAAGGTTTTGCTTAAGTCTCCCTGATGAGAAAGTCACATTCTTAGTCAGGCTCATTGTGGTTTCTGGGTGTTCTTGCCACTCCTGCCTCTGAATTCTTCCTGCATCTCCCTGACACCTCTGTTACCTCTCACCCGGCCATGGAGAGTCCCAGAGCATTGTTGGGAGCTGCTGCTTCCATGAAGAGAAGAAACACACATAGTAGAGACTTCTGGAGGAACAAATGGGAGAAACACAGCCTTGCCTAAGAGATGGAGAAGGTAGATTAGTCCCGGGGGACATGTTCAGCCTTGTTCAAAGAGACTGTCACCCAGGAGGGACAGTGAGGAAATGCTAAGATCTGAGTCAAGATAAAGAACCTGGGACTAATGGAGGGGCAGGTGTGGGAAAAGCAGGAGAAAGAGGAGACCAGGTTGAGGGTCCTGTATTTGTAGAGGTGAGTCAGAGGAAGGATGCGCCATATTGTACAATGCAGCCTACACTCCCACGGCCTTGAGTTTGGCTGCTGTGGTGGCCTTTGCCTCCATCTGGATTTGAACACCGAGAGGGCTGAAGTAAATTATCACTAATATTCTGAAGGTTCTCCTTGGTACTTCGTCAGTTTTACTTGACGACTCAAGCAGATGGGTTGGGTCCTTCATGGAAGATGTCAGGGACAAAGGGCATCTCCTCCCCAGTGTCTCACAGTACAAAGTATTAAGGGATCTTTGTCACCCCAGAGGAGTTTGGCCTTTATGGGAGAACAGTATCAGGGAGGAGCAAACCGACTCCTTCGGGCACTTTCCTCAAACCAAGGGCTGTTGGTGCATCTCCTTCAGGGTGAGCTTAGGAGGCCCAGTGATGACGGATTCCCTGGCCCAGAGGAGAGACTCAGAACTGGAAGGAGCCCTAGCCAGGGTACAAGCTACCACCTTTACTTTTCAGCGGAAGGAACAGAAGCCCAGAGAGGAAAGGGGACTTGCGCGAAGGGATGCGTGAGATGAAGATGGAGCTCCAAGCCCACCGCCATTCTGGGCAGTTTTTCTCTCCTGTGTCAGCTGATGTCAGGAATTCCTCACTGAAGTGTGTATATATATATATATACATCTTTTAATATCTTTCTCTCTCTCAACACACACACACAATTTCTCAATGGAAGAGGTAAAAAACCAAATATACTTCCAAGGAAACCCCTTAGCATTAATAACGAATGAATTTAGGCCCAATGATCAGTTAATCAGCAGCTGTAAATCAGTTCACAGAGCAGAAGGTTGCCAGGGGCTTGCAGGGATAAGGGGAGGGATGAAGGCTAGGAGGGAGGACATGGCTGAGGACCCCTAACCTTTGCGATGCCACAACCCAGCCCTCCATGCCCTTGTGTTTCCTCAAGGGAGCGGGGACAAGGAGACGAAAGGACAAGGAGGTACAGAGATTGACTACCCCACTTTGCGTCCACTACTGAGTTTTGTCTTTAACATGGTTGAGAGAGAATGGGAGTTAGACTTCTTGTGCTTTTGAATGAACCCGAATGTCTCCGATGTGGGCATTTCCTGCTGCCGCCATCTCACGGGGGACAGGTACAGCGTGGTGGTCCAGCTCTAGAAGGCACCACCTCGCATAAGCTCCCCTGGCTCGCTCAGCGAACATCTGTTGACTGTCCGCATTGTGCTGGAAGCTGGTGGGGTGACGTCTGCTGATCCGCGGCTCATTGGGCCTGAATTCTTCAATGCAGTGACACCAATGGGCTCTTTCAGTAATGGCTGAGGCCTCACGGGCCTCCCCTCTATGAGCGGGGCAGTTTCTGCCCTTCCAGGCCTATTGCCCGATGTCGGGCACCTGACTGATCTGGCCTTCTTTCCAAAATATTCAGTGTAGGCCGTGGCATATTTGTTTCCCCGTCGCATTGCAGGAGGATGCCTGGAGCATTTCAGCAGAAGCCGCCCTCCCCAGGGACAAAGCTCTCCACCTTACCTTGGGCATTCTGTCCCTGCCTCGTTGTCCAGAGGCTCCTGCCGCCCCAGAGTTGAGCTCATTTGGTCCATGGGAGAATTAGAGGTGCCCTCGTGAGTCACTGGTGCAACGTTCTGCTTGGACACCTGGAAAACAAGGTTATTGCAGGTGCCAGGAAACCATGCGAAGTTCAAGGTTTGCGGCGGGATTTTAGGTTATGTGAAATCAAAGTAATAATGAAATACTGACAATATACTAAATATTTGCAAACGACCGCCAGTACATTTTATAGTGCGGTGTCGCAATATATATTCTATTTATAGAAACTTTATTCATAATTGCCAAAACTTGGAGACCATGAAGATGTCTTTCAGTAGTGAGGAAACAAACGGTGGTCCAGCCAGATAAAGGAGTATTATTATGATTCAGCACTATAAGAAATGAGCTATCAAGCCATGAAAAGACCTGGGGGAACCTTAAATGCATTTTACTAAGTGAAAGTAGCCAGTCTGAAAAAGCTACGTTCTGTGTGATCCCAACTACAGGACATTCTGGGAAAGGCATAATTCTGGAGACAGTAAAAAGAGCCGTGGTTGCCAGGGGCTGGCGGGAGGGAATGAGGAATAGACAGAGCAGGGAGGGTTTTTAGGGCAGGGAGACTATTCTGTCAGCTCTTGCAATGGTGGATAGATACATGTCATTTTACATTTGCCCAAACCCATAAAATACACAACACCAAGAGAGAACCCCAATGTAAACTATGGACTCTGGTTGATAATGATGTGTCAAGGTAAGCTCACCAGCTATAACAAGTGTCCCATTCTGGTCTGGGATGTTGATAGGGTGGGGGGAGTGCTGTGCGTGGCTGGGGGGGTGGGGGGAGCCAGGGGGCGTATGGGAAATCTCTGTACTTTCCCCTCACTTTTGCTGTAGATCTAAAACTATTCTAAAATATGAAGGTTCCTTTTTAAAAAAAGAACCAGGCAAACATGCAGATACAAAAAGGAAGCAAAAAGCAAGCATAATTCATAGTTAAAAAAAAAAAGGAAGGAAGGAATGAAAGGAAAGGAAAAGAAGGAAAGGAAAGGAAGGAAGGAAGGGAAGGAAGGAAGGAAGGAAGCAAAGAAAGAAAAAAGAAAAGTCTGAAAACCACCCCAAATGGACTAGTTAAGTATGTGGTTTATCTAACAACGAAATAGTATGCAGTCATTTAACCAAATGAGGCAAATCCATATAAACAGAGGGAAGGCTCTCCAGTGCACATTGGTACATGAGAAGGCAGGGTATAGGATTCTGTATAGTGTGCTCCCATTTGCATTGAAGAAAGACACACATGTTTGTAGAGACCAGAAACTAGTAACACTGATTGGATTGGGGGTCAGGGATGAGAGGGAAGCTTGCTTTTCATGCTTCATCCTTTTATACTTTCTATCAATCACTTTTGCCATATACCTGCCTGTGATGCCTTAATTTTTTTTAAAGACTGTCCCCGCTAGCAGGTTGAATAGTGGTGTCCCTCCAATTCGCGTCTCCCTGGAACCTCACAATGTGACCTTATTTAGAAATCATGTTCCTGAAGATATAATTAGTTAAGGATCTTGAGATGAATTCATCCTAGTTTGGGGGAGGCGGGGTGGGGGGGAGCCTAATTCCAATGACTCCTTACAAGGAAAGGACACAGACACACGGGAGACGGGTGCGTGATGACAGAAGCAGAGATGGGGGTTAAGTTGTCATAAGGTCAGGCTTGCTTGATTCACCAGAGGCTGTGAGAGGTGAGCAAGGATTGATTCTTCCCGAGAGCCTTTAGCTGGAGGACGACCTCTCTGGCACCTTGATTTCAGACTCTGGCCTCCAGGATTGGGAGGGAATCCATTTCCATTATTTTAGGCCACCCAGTTGGTGGCACTTTTATTCCGGCTGCCTGAGGAAAGGGACACATCCTCTCTCATCTCTTCTCCTATATTTGGTGCTTGGCCTCAGAGTGTATGTCAGAAATGATACCTGAGCTATGCCTTCTCTCTCCCGGTCATCTTTCTCTCCCTCTCTACTTCTGAAAGAACTTAGAAAAAAAGTCCTCCCAGTCTAGCACCGGTCGGGGGAGGGGCGTCCCCAGCCAGCAGAGGTGAGATGTAACTTGGTCTGTCCCATCACCTTCGTAATCCTGTTTCCACTTAAACTTCAAACAGCCCAGGAAGAGAGAATCCTACCCTGATTTACCATCAAAGAAGTTGAGCTTCAGGCCTTTCCCGAGGCCAGAGCCCTGACAGGACGGGGATGTGGACCCCGGTGGCCCTGGTCCCAGCTCTCTGTCCTGAGCCAAGTGCCTACAGCCTCGCTCCTCCGCCTGCTGTCTCGCTGAGGGCTCGGGTGCCCAGGGACAGGAGGACCCCACCCTGAGCTCTGTCCTTACCTCTCTGGGGCCTCTGGTCCGGCGGGGGGCTGCAGCAGAGTCTCCAGCAGGTTCTGCCGCCCAGGGGGAAAGCCCGAAGCTCTGCAGACCTCTTCTGAGTCAGCTGAGAACCTGAGTCTGGGCTCTGCAGGCACGGAAATGGTATGAACTGAAGCAACATTTCCGGGAAGAGCAGGGCTTACTGAGAAATGGTTTTCACTTTTGCTTTCCTTCTTTGCCTCTTTCTCTTCTAGCTGTGCAGTGAAGCAAAGCAGCAGAACTGTGGGCGGAGGCCCAAGCCCCCCTCGCCCTGCCCTCGCTGTGTGCTGGGCGCCAGGCCAGTGGCCAGTAAGGCGAGGACTCAGTCTAGGGGACCACGGGGAGCTGTTCCTCACCAGTGCTTGGCCTCGATTCCCCAGCTGTGAAATGGGTCTCAAAACAGTTCTTGCGGCTCAGAGCCGTGGTGAGGAGCGAGTCCCTCAGCGCCCAGCGTGGACTGAGCGCCCCACAGATGCGTCACCGGTGGCTGCCGTGGGTTCTGTTACCTGGCTCTCCCTCCCTCTGAGCTGGGGACAGGCGAGGGCCGATGCCTCAGATCTGTAACCGTGACTTGCAGAAGTCGCTGGAATCTGAGACCCGTTTCGGTAATTCGTGTGGTGGAGGGACCTGACCCTGACCCGCCCGGGTGCAAGGACATGGTTCTTGCATATCCCGCTTCATTCGCATCTTTGTGGTTTCCCTGAGAAATAGTAGCGTGTGACCAAACAGGGCGGCGAGGGGGTTGCAAAACCTTTGCAGAACCTTTCCCCAAATCCAGACCATGGGAAACTCTGAAACACACCTGGCCCCGAAGGTTTGAGTACAGGATTGTGGTTGTGAGTCTCCCGAGTTGCAGATGGCGAAACTGAGACCCTGGGGGGCGGGGGGGAGTGGCATGGGTCAGTGGCTTGCCCATGGTCACCCAGTTCTAGCCTCCATGTCTGTAGGAATAACCTGCGCAGTCATGGGCTGAGATCTGTGTCTCCGTGTGTGTGTGTGTGTGTGTGTGTGTGTGTGTGTGTGTGTGGGAGTGTGGGCCGTGTGGTTTGTGCACGTCGATAAGGCAGAAAGCCCTGGGTTGACTCCCCAGCCCTCCCGAAGGCCACACCGGCTCTGTGGGCGTCCCCCAGGGCCCTCCGAGCAGGGAGGAGGGATGAGAGGCCGGTGGGCTGCTGAGCTGGGACTTGGAGGGGCCTGAGGGGCCCTGGTGTCCTGGCCTCGTGCACTCTGGACAGAGGCTGTCCTCCAACTGGGGCAGCCGCCCTCTGGCCTCCCTGTGGTTTTCCCTGGCAACAGTCCCAGATGCCGAGGCCTCCCCTGAGGGCCTGGGAGCCTCAGAGACCAAGCCGGCCACTGGACTAGGGTGGTGTTTACCACGGCGGCGCTGGTGAAGCAAGACCCCCCTAAGAGACGCGGGGCGAGCAAAAGAATGTCACATGCAGCAAACGCCGCTTCTGGGGTGAGACAGAAAACATGTGGTGTGTCACCCAGCCAAGCAAGAGGACAGAGCTGCTTCATTTCGTAAACCGCACCTCCCCTTCCTCGGGGGCCCCAAGCCTGCTGACAAGAACAAACTTACCTTACGCTCCCTCGGTCTCTTGCAATTTCAAATACACAGTGTTGGGTCAAGTTGGTCACTCGGCAGGGGAATGTTCAGGCAAATTCGGACCCGACTTGGGCATCAGGGCTTTCCCTCTCCCCTTGAAAGTCTGCAGCCTCCTGAGAGGGCACCTGGGTGGGGATGCCTGTGCTGTGCCTCTGGGGTCTCCCTGGCCTGCCCAGAGGCCTCCTGTGTCCCACCATCCCATCAGGCGGCAGCTGCCTCCGGCTGGGGAAGCCCATCCAGCTGGCTGTTGGCTTGGTGGCGGCCCCCGGGCTCTGGTTGCAGCCACACCAGCCTCCGGCCCACACACCCGTGGAACAGGCTCCCATGCGCTGGGCCCACGTCCCACCTTGCAGGCCTTGCTCAGGCCCTGGGGAACTGCAGGGGGCAGGGTGGGGGGAGGACGAGCTGGGGAGACCTGGGGGCAGGCGAGGAGGTGGTCCAGCCCCTTCCTTGACCCAGACACGCACCACTGGGGCTTCTCTAGCTGCTGCCCCTGCCCCAGACCTCTCTGCTCCGGCTGCCTGCCTCCTTCCTTCCCCCAGGCGGACTTTTCCTACCACTTCTGCCCGAGTCTGATTGCCTTATTGCTCTTGTCCCTCCCTCTGCCTGTTGCCCTTCCAATCCTGGAAGGTTTCTCCCTACACCCCTCTCTGTAGGGACTTCTCTAAGGTCAGGTCCGTGCCCCCCCCCCACACCCTATCCTGAGGACTTCTTGTCCTTTGTTCTCATTCCTTGAGAAATTGACGGCAAAGGGGGTCGGGGAGGGAGATGTCGCACAGATAAAGGGAAATATAGGGGCACCTGGCTGGCTCGTCAGTTAAGCATCTGCCTTCGGCTCAGGTCATGATCCCAAGGTCCTGGGATTGAGCCCCGCATCAGGCTCTCTGTTCGTTGGAAACCTGCTTCTCCCTCTCCTCCCCCCCATTCATGCTCTCTCTCGCTCTCTCGCTCTCTCTCAACTAAATAAATAAAATATTAAAAAAGAAAAAGGGAACTATACACTGGAACTGTTTCAAAAGCATCCCCTTTGCTCTCATCAAGGGCTTAGAGAGTTTCTCTGTTATCCAACAAACCAGCCAGGGCCTCCCTTTTGTGACCTAAATGAGGATGGTAGGAATGCCAGCCAGTTAGTCTGGTGCTCGAAGGCAGGCCCTCCAGGTTGCCCTCCCTGCTGGGGACCTGGCCACAGTCCCTGGTGCTGGAGAATTAGGGAGCTGACAGCCAGACACCTCTGGGCTGCCTGGAGCTGTGGTTTGAACACAAGCCCTAGAGATTGATTCAGGCTAATGTAACTTAAGAATCTTCTGGAACACCCTCGAAGCAGCTCCAGCTCCAAACGTGCAGCAAAACCACCGGGCCTGGGAGAGGGCAGGGAGCAGGCCGCCAGTAGCCCATCAGGAGCCGGGGGACGACTCGGGAGGCTCGTTCCATCACGTGACTCAACCACCTGCCCCTTCTTGTCTGTTCAAGTTTTGTGATCCTTCGAGAGAATCTGGTTGGCCTAGCGGAGGTCACTGGGTGTGTTTGGGAGTGTGGCTTAGTCCTCTTGGGGCTGCTACAACAAAAAACTGTGGAGGTTTTGGAGGTCAGAAGTCTGAGATCACCTCACGCCAATATGGGCGAGTTCTGGTGAAGACCCACTGCGGAGTTGCAGACTGCTGACTTCTCCTTGTGTGCTCACCCGTGGAAGGGGCCGGGGAGCTGTGGGGTCTCTTTTAGAAGGACACCCATGCTGCTCCTGAAATCTCCACCCTCACGACCTAATCACTTTCCACAGGCCCCACCTCCAAATACCATCACATGGGGTGTAGGATTCCAACGTGTGAATCTGGGGTGGGGGGCACAGACATTCAGGCTCTAACAGGCTGGGAGGCGTGGAGGTGAGGCTTGTTAGTGCGCCCACCAGAACCCCCTGGGGTAGAGCAGAGGCAGTTACCCAAAGGAAGGGGGCGCTGTTCCTAGAATCAGCCAAGAAAGGATGTTGGGCAGGCAAAAGCAATAGGTGTCCTCTGCATCCCATCCTTTGCACTGTGCTTCCCCCGCCCCCACACCGTCCTTCCAGGTATAGGACTGAAGAAGGCCTTCTTTATGAGCTGCGACAACCCAGATAGAGCTCTGGATGTCCCCAGTCCTCCCCAAGAGTTGCACCAGAAGTCACACCCAGGGGTTGTATCTGCAGGCAACGGATCTACCCAGTGGACCCAGGGTGTCCAGCCTTCTCTCGTTGTACCACAACCCTTATTGATATTCTCAAATCTATGACCTCAGTGGTAAATCTAACCACCCTTAGTAGATAAGAAAGGGAATGAGGAGGAAAGGGAAGGAAAATTCTGAAAAATCATGCTGACACAGCAAGCAGGGAGTTGCAATCTTTTGGTTATAATCTTTTTATGAAACTGGCATTCACAATATTTTGGCCAGCTTCAAAAATATTAGTAATAATATTGGTAGTAATCATTAGAGCTAGAATTTACTGAGTACTTGCCATGTGCCAGTGCTGTTCCAAGGGCTTCATGAGAATTAGCTCAACATCATGGCGGGTATTTGTGACTTTCCTTCCTAAATTACCCATTCCTTTATCCCCTTGCCTTCGGCCAGCTCCTCATCAGGTTGGAGTCCTTTCCAAAGGGTAGACCCTAAGCTTCACATGTTCCGGAATCAGGTGGGGTTAGGCTTCCAGCAGCTTCCCCCTGGTTAGGGCAAGCCGGCACGGACCTAGGGCATGGGAATCTCCCTCCCCCAGGGCATGTTGGCAATATGATACTACTTCTTTTGATGAGCACAGCCAACCACCTGTGTCAACAACAGTCCCCCAAAACAGTCTAGTAGTCCCTCAGAACAGTAAATATACCATCAGTGGATGAATAGATACATAAATCATGGCATATACATACGATGGAATTTTATTCACCATAAAAAGGAATAAAGTGCCAACACATGCCACAATGTGATTGAACCCCAAAGGCCTTCTGCCGCTAAATGAAAGAAGCCAGGCACAAAAGGCCACACATTGGATGATTCCTTTTACATGAAATATCTAAAACAGATAAGTTTATAGAGACGTAAAGCAGGTTGGTGGTTGCCAGAGAGACCAGAGGACAAGGGCTTGGGGAGTAACCACTTAATGGGTTTGGGGTTTCTTTTTGGGGGTGTTGAAAACATTCGGGAACCAGGGAGAAGTGATGGTTGCACGACATTACGAATGTACTCAATACTGAATTGTTCACTTTAAAATACCTAATTCTGGGCGCCTGGGTGGCTCAGTTGGTTAAGCGACTGCCTTCGGCTCAGGTCATGATCCTGGAGTCCCGGGATGGAGTCCCGCATCGGGCTCCCTGCTCGGCAGGGAGTCTGCTTCTCCCTCTGACCCTCCTCCCTCTCATGCTGTCTCTCATTCTCGCTCTCAAATAAATAAAATCTTTAAAAATAAATAAATAAATAAAATACCTAATTCTGGGGTGCCTGGGTGGCTCAGTCATTTGAATGTCTGACTCATGCTTTCAGCTCAGGTCATGATCTCATGGGTTGCGAGATCGAGCCCCACATTGAGCTCTGCACTCAACGGGGGAGTCTTCTTGGGTTTCTCTCTCTCCCTCTTCCT